ATGAGAGCTTAGTAAACTGGCCAGGAGTAGCAAATGTTTAAGAGAGTTTAAGTTTATTAGCCTTTCGAATATATTTTGATATTAAATATATTTAAGAAATTTGTCTACGGATTCATTAAAAAGTTCCGACCATCTAAAGAGGCGTTTGTGAGCCAAATCTATTTAAAATATTTTAAAACTATCAACAGCGCTACGATTTTGTTCTCAGAGATCATGCCAACAGAGTATTGGGATTTTCTTTCACAAGTTAAACCAGCCTTTCGAGCTTGTGTTTAGTATTCACGATGTTAGAACTGCATGAAATTAATAAAAATTGTTTAAAATTAGTCTAGCCGCCAAAATGTAAGAAAACATATACAAAATCATACATGTTTCACAATTTTCTAACACTTCGCTACACCATCGAAAGCAAAATTCTGTTCGACAGAAAATTCGATACTAAACGAAAATTTCGACACGCTTGCATAGCTCATAATACGAATTTCACTTTCGATCTTCGATCTTCGATAGCCAGCGAAGATCGAAAATCGAATACAGCTCATAATAAGGGCCTCAAAGCTGTTCAGTAACTTTAGCGCTTTGTTGAGGTTTTTGATTTCCATTGCTAATCGTCAATCTTTGTACATAAATTGCGGTTGCGTGATGCTATGTTTCATATTCTGCCTTATCCTGTTTCGCCTGAAAAAAAAATTCACCCGAAAATTTTTCATCCGCCCATAGTAAAACCATGGAAACCAAAAGTGAAAAGTGAACCGGTTCGGAGAAAATGAAACTCATGATAAGACATGTCGAAAAATTCAAACTATCTTCGAAACAATCCAACCATATTCGACAAGAAATGTGCTCTGGCGTGTATTGTCATTCAGCCTTATCATCAGTTTCGCCCAACATTTTTTCATCCGTCCGTAGTGAATACACGGAAACGAAAAGTGAACCGGTTCGAAAAAAAAAAAATGAAACTCATGATTTGTATTTTTAATAAAAATTCCATCATACACTTTTTAAATCCGGAAACTGTAAATGGAACGCATGATACAAAAAAGAAGGTAGTTTCAATAAACAACATTTGACTGATAATAAAATTGTTTGAAGTTTCATAAAGTGTGAGTATTATCAACGGCCTTGCCACTTTGATAATATTGAAACAATAAATCGGAGTATTTTCCTTCCCATATTTATACCAATGTAATAATATTTCAAATCAAAACCCATTATCATTAAAAAAAATATATATTTCTTCTAGTGATCAGGTAGCATGAATTTGATGAAATGTCATAATTTTATTGACAGTCGAATGGTTAACAACAACAACGAATGGCATTAAATGAAGTCTATTATTTAACCGGAAGTCTAATCCAGAGAAACGTTTCTGATATAAGTTACGTATTTGGTAAAGCATTTATGCCCCATTAAAAAATGGACTTCCGGTCCATCCACACGTTGAATAGTTGTTGATTTTTGACTTTGATGACGTCTGAAAAAAGTAGTTTTATCAAACAGCAGCAAGATGCGGCAGACAATCCATAGACCAAATGAAAGTAGATATGCTCTTTAATCAGATATATATATAATCTCGGACGAAATCTGACAGAAAACGTGACATTCCATAAAACAAGCAGAATATGTTTAAATTTGTATAATCATAACATGCACTTTGAAACGGCGAATTTTTCAAAAACAAAAATATTATTTAAAGCCACAATTGTTTCAGTCAATGGTACATACCATTAGTATTTTTTTCTATTGTTGAAATAATCGTACTTCAAACGTTTTATATACGTAAAACACATCCGCGCTGCACTGCAGTTCAATATAATAAAATTCTAGCACAAACTAAAACCAAAACCACAAACTTTACGTTTGCAGATAGCGCACCAGGGTTACTTTGCGGTCATAAATTTATAATTTATTTTCTAATTAGGGTATCAGAATAAAGTCCGCCTGTTAAAAATTTTTAAAGAAAAAACTGAAAATTGGACTTTTGGCCGCAGAAAGTGCTTATTTCAACCATAGTGCAGCGTAGCCGCTGTATTTTATTTCGCTTCGGTATGTCTATATCGTTGTAAAGATCATAGACCTCAACGTTAAATCGTATGTGGTATTCCCCATCGTCAACGCTCAAAGGGCCCTATATTTTTCGCAGAATCTTTCTCTCGAAAACTCTAAGAGCAGCCTCATCAGATGTTTTCATTGCCAATGTCTCCGTGCCATACACCAGCACGGACATGATGAGTGACCTATAAAGTGTGATTTTTGTACGACGAGAGAGGACTTTGCGTCTCAGTTGCTTACTCAGTCCAAAGTAGCTTTTTTGGGCAAAGTGATTCTTAAACAGGGATTACATGATTTGTGTATTGTACACATTTGTATATTTGGTGTTGTTTAGAAATTTTAGCTCAGCTCAATAACATAATTTCCAGATTACGCTAATCGTGTGATCCCTGCTTTAGTTGAATTTCATGGCTTATATAATTATTGGTGTTCCTAATTAACTCTGTATGGAAAATCTCAAGTTTTGAGATGACACAAAAAACCGGCGTAACACGTAAACTTAATATAGGTTCATAGATTATGGATCTGTTTTTTTAGATCAGGTCATTATGCCAAGATATTTATATGAAAAAAATCAACATTTCCATGTTAAAGTTTGAATTTTTTGAATTTAAAATGCTCTAGAAAAACAGTATACAGATCCGTGATCTACAACCCAAAATTAAGTTAAGGTGTCGGCGTTTTTTTATGTCATCTTAGCCTGCCTACTGTGTAATGAAATTAAATCTAATTTTTCGAAATAGCTGTCAACAGCGACTTGAACCCCGAGACGCAGCTATCTATTTAATGACAGAAAAAAACTTTATCTTGTCCTCATTCACCACCAGACGCACTGTCCGTCATTATCTAATTTCGTGAAGGCAGAATATACATCTCTTTCGTTATCACCGATGATGTCGATGTTTCGGAGAGGTCCTTGCGTATCGACTGAACCAGCTGTAGTTGGCGCGTCGCTTTTGATGTGGATTGGGCATAGCACAAATAAATTCCAGTCATCAACTCCCCTGAACCGTACTTAAAACGCGCAGCTGGCAGGCCGTCAGCTGCAGTTTCGGCCATCACTTCAAGCGTATTTTGGTCTCTCTTCCTATTATGGCAAATAGTATCGCTTGCCTCTATAGCTCATATGTAAATATGTATCTCGCATTGTGCCCTATCGCAGCGTGACCGTGTAAATGACATATTTTTTCTCTGCTGGCATATGCTTGTTTGTTGAATATCACTCTTTGAGAGCATATCGTACACCGTCTTCAAAAGAGTCACAACTCAAAATTTGGCATTTTTGAGATTATGCGCTAAAAATGCATACAGAGCTTTTATTTATCTTTCAGCAAAAGCAGGAGCAAAAACCTAAGGTATTGTCTCCCTTGCCCATATGATTATCATGTGCTAAGAAATAGTTTTTCGCATTTTCTGACAAACGTGTTATTTTGAGTTGTGTCTCTTTTGAAGACGGTGTGCGATATGTGAGAATCGAGGTGTGAATATCAATGGGCTTATATACAATACCTTCTATCCGAAAACCGTGAGCATTGGTCCTTTACGACACCACTACGAACCAGAGTGTCCAGATTTGGTGATTTCGCGATTTTTTCAGATATTTGCGCGGTAAAATTTCCCTTCAAATAAATTGTTTCCAATTATAAAAATATACAAAACTTAGTTTTCCACGATAATTTTACAGAAGAGGCTAATGAACTGCGTGATAAACTTTACTTAAGAAGCATATTAAAAGACTGTCAAAAAGGTTTAATCACCCTTATCGAAGAACTTTTGAAACGATTACCTAGTCAATTCAATACTTTTAAAAAAAGCTTTGATTTTGTCTTGTTGTGTGTGAATCACAAGAGGGCGAGTTTCAGGGACCTGCCAATTCACTATTTGACTTTAAAGGAAAGAAAAGCAGCAGAAACTGAATATTTAAATCTGAACTTTCCCATGGTATAACTTTTCTCAGAACCATTCCACCCGACTCTGAAGAATTTTGGATAATTTCTTACGGAGTGAAAACCGCAACAGGCAATAAAATGTTTGGAAATATAAATAAATTCATATTATTATCCTTGCCGCACTCACATGCTTTGCAGAGCGCGTTTTTTCCGTAATGAATTCAACAAAAACTACGATTTGAAATAAGATGAGGTTGGAAAGCCTTTATTCAATAGTTCGAATAGAGTGTTATATGAAAGATAATAGTTTCTGCTGCAAAACGTTTCCAATATCAAACAGTATGTTATCAAGGTTATTAATAGCTCAATATATGACAACAACAGAAATGTAAATCATTCAGCCTCTACAGGTGATTTTGAAGAAATTGTGGAAATACTGATCTCGCCTCATTATAGGTTTTTATTTAATTTTTAGCGCCGAGCTCTTAGGCCCACTTGCAGAATAGCAGGTTATCTATTTAAATCGAAGTTTACCGGTTAAATTAATAAATTGTCTTGCACAATCAATGGTAAGGAGTAAAATTAGAGTTAAATCGTTAAATATTTAGCCCAGCAATTTTCGAAGGTTAACTTGCTAACTTTACATATGTCAATTCTGTCAGTACCAAGAATAAAGAAATTGAGATTTCAAACATTTTTAGTGTAAAACATATATGTAATACTCCTATATTGGCAGTAAGAGCTAGTACCGTCCGAAAACACTACAGTACAGATATATCAATAAACACGTACGAAAGAAAAGGAACACATACGTTTATAAATAAACATGTACACAACACATATACAAAAACGGCACTCAAGTACACAATACATTGACAAAAACAGTACAAGACTGTCTCGCTTTGATTTCGGAATGCTTACACATTGAGAAATTAGCTTATTAGCTTACTGCCAATATAGAAGTATTACCGCGGAACTCCACAGGCAAACAGCGATGGCCTACCATCTGTCATTTTGACAGATTATTGCCAGCAATATGATTGGAAGATTTTGTGTGTGGGCACTTTGATATCTTAACATATCATTTTTAAAATGGCGCCAACAAAGCATGTTCGATGTATTGAAGCTCTTAAGCATTTGGAAATGCTAAAACAACTTTATAAAGAGGAGGAAAAAAGAAAAAAAGCCGCGGTTTTGGGTGAACCCATTTTTAATGCAGAGGGAACTTCACGACTTGGAAGCAAACCTTTTAAAAAACATTTTATGGGAAGATGGTACCGACTTCAACAACTTTTGCAGGATGTCCATTGACCAATTCAATGAGGTTCATTCACTGGTAAATACACATATATGTACATGAAATATTTTTTATTTGAAGGGCTTGTAACATGGAAAGACTACGATAACCGGGCGACGAATTCTGATCATGTATTTCGATGTATTTCCACGTGAGGAAACCGGGAAAAATTACTTTAAAAAATCCATCTGTAAAAATGCTGTAGATAGCGTAGCCGATGTTGGCCGGCCAGTGTTAGTTTTTTGAAGCCCGACCAAATCCGGGGAAGCTTTTCTTTTACGACCGACCGTTGTATACGTGGTGGGCAGAGGCCCGTAGGGAGCCCTTACAAGAAGGGCGGATGACCCTCTTTTGTCAAGTGTGATCCTTTGCCAACGTGTACATGTTATAAATAATAATTTCGCCCAACCCATTACGACGTAATGAACGAAACAAAAGCGGCCATGTAGCTTTGCAACCCGAAATTGATAGTATTTCAAAATTTTTTCATAAAATTAGTAAATATTATATAATTAAAGTACTTTTAAACAAAAGTGCGATCTTTTAGCAACTTATGCATGTGATAAACAATGTCGGCCTACCCATTCCGGCGTATTAAGTAAAACAAAATCGGCCGTAAAAGAAAGCCAACCACAAAAGCAGCTTGCGCAAAAGTAGTCCAATTGTTTAAATATGTAAATAGTCAAGGTGGAATTTGTTCATAATTTCTCCTGGATTCCTCATCCGAACATCCATATGCATACATGAATAAAACTTGGCCACCCGGTTATCGTACACGTGCCTGTAACATACATACATATGTATTTATATATTTACATGCATATATAGGTGGATACTAAAATTAAAAAAAGTGATACAAGGATGAGATGTGCCATTACAACAAGAGTTCGCCTAGCTATAACTTTGCGCTACTTAGCGACTGGCGATTCGTTTCGTTCTTTGGAATTTCTATCACACATATCACGAAAAACAATAAGCAAATTTTTGCCAGAAGTTTTGGAAGCATTGACTGAAGCACTTCAGGAGGAATATTTAAAGGTGCTTATTGTAATTTTTCCATTCTACATATCGCTAGCTTAGAGTCAAAAGTTGCTAAGTCCAGTTTTTCTTAAAACATACATACATATACATATTTTGATACAAGAAGCAGTTTCTATTCGGTTATACGCAAATTTGCTAAGTCCATAATAGTCAATGAAAATTGTATAAGCAAAAAGAATACAAAAACGTCTCATCAACAAATTAAAATCTTGTATTGAAGTTTTTGCAAATTAAGTGCTTGAAGAAAATGTGTTTGAAACGTGTTTATTCTCTCCTGTAAAATTTGAAAAACTGCACTTAGAAACTTATCAATTTAAGCCAGCGACATGTGTAATAGTTTTTAACATAAATATGTACATCTATTGTATGTGTATGTTTTATTCTATAGACACCTACAACAGAAAAAGAGTGGTTGGATGTTGCAAATAATTTTGAATCTCTTTGGCAGTTCCCGCACACTTTAGGAGCAATTGACGGAAAGCACATTCGGTTAAAAGCGCCTCCAAATTCAGGTTCCGACTATTTCAACTATAAAGGCTATTTTAGCGTGGTTTTGCTTGCTGTTGTCGATGCTCACAGTCGTTTTATTTATGTGGATATTGGGGCAAACGGCAGGGCATCTGATGTTATGGTGTATAAAAACTGTTCTTTATATAATGCGTTGTTAAATAACCAGTTAAATTTACCTACTGATAATCCTTTATGTGGCCAAGTTTGCAAAACACCCTATTATTTTATCGGCGATGACATTTTTGGGTTAAGTCGGCACTTGATGAAAGCCTATAACCGAAGTTCAAACCTTACCACGTCGCAGGAGGCGTATAATTATAGACTAAGCAGAGCACGAATGACTGTGGAAATGGCTTTTGGCAGGCTGGCTGCGCGTTTTCGTATCTTTCACAGGCCAATAGAAGTTTCTTTAGAAACATGTGATGCTCTTATAAAAGTTTGCTGCGTTTTACACAATTACCTGACACGAAAACTGATTCAGCCTCCGAGTCCTCAGGATGATTGCTCTGCTCAAAGCCTTCCACAGACAATTTCCAGTTTACCAGTACAAGAACATGACACATACAAATACTCCTGCAAAATTCGAGATAACATATGCAAATATTGTGTAACCGACGGGGATGTTTCATATCAGTGGATAAAAATAAAAAAACAAGTCGCAAAGTAAAAAGTAAAAATTGCTTGTTCAGAAAGTAAAAACGTTATTTTAAATTTCATATTAGGAAAGTGGTTTCCGGTATTGGTACTGGTATTTTTAGATCAGAATTTTTTAGAAATATTTCGGGTATGCAGTTTTGTAGCCCATTATAATAAAGTACAAGTTTCAATAAGCAAAAATTATGCGTTCAATATATCGCATGAACAAAAGCAATTTTTATATGGAAGAAAATGCTAATATTTCTAAAAAATTCTGATCTAAAAATACGAGTACCAATACCGGAAACCACTTTCCTAATATGAAATTAAAAATAACGTTTTTACCTTCTGAACAAATAATTTTTAGGCAAAAAACAAAACCGACTTAAATTCTCATTCAAAAATTTAATAGTACCGTTAATTTCTTCATGACCGCTATATACCATCGCACCAAAATTAGAGATATTCTTGTTGGTCTTTCCTATTAACAACACAGAAAAAAACATTTAACCACAATAAGCAATCACATCGCCTTCAAAATCTCAATCTAATAGGTTTGTTTTAAATTTTTTTAAACATTTTATTTTCATACAAATTCATCAAAAAGTAACGATAAATAAAAACTTAACTTTAACGAATAGAAAAGTGAATTGTAAGTGGATGTGTTAAATGTAATGCAAATATGTATGCATATATTAACTAAAATAAAGTTTTCTTAAATGCTATTTTATAATTACACTGGGTGACAGTGTAAATTAACATGGATCGTAACATACACCCCCGACAAACGATAGCACATCATTTATAATTTTTGTACAAAGTCTGAAAATTAGATTTAAATGGTATTTGTTAGATAAAGAGCTATACTTTTATAGAAAAATAATGAACCTTAAATAATCAAAAGAAAAGTAGTCAAAACGTGTAAAAATGGTGATGTGCTATATTTTGTCGCGGGGTGTAGGATCTACTCAAGTAATAAACAACTGTAACATGTGAAAAATACATATATGTATATATAGCATGTATAGTCATGTGAAAAATAATAGGGACAGGGCCTTTTGGACCAGTTTTGGCTATTTTTCTTTTGATTGTTCAATGTAACATAATTGATTATCAAACAAACACCATATAAATCCAAATTTCAAACTTTAGAGGAAAATTCAAA